TCAAAGAGAAACTGGCAGAGAAAATGCATCATTCAAGGACACGGTTCTACCAATTCAGTGCATCTTTGCTTGGCAATCGAGGGGCTACTTTTACTTGTAAAATACTATCACGTGTGCTTCCTTTCTCCTTGCTCATTAGATCGCACGTCCAAAACCACTATCCACATGTGGGCGTCATCACCACGGGGTGGGGCCGGGGAGCCTGGCCACAGCTGTAGTAGTAGTCCAGGCTGGTAAGCGGCCGGAAGAGCAGAGAACGGGAGCAAGTCTTTACAGACTGTCCACAGCACGCTGGGCTGGTGTTTGATGAGCAGTATGTCTTTGGGGCTTCAGCATAGAGAAAGTAGTGAAAGTGTTAGTCGCTCAGTCGTGCCCAACTCTTTGCAACTCCATGGACTGTAGCCCTCCAGGCCCCTCTGTCCATGGGATTCTCCAGGCAGGAATACAGAGCCAGGCAGCCATTCCCTTCTCCAGGGAATCTTCCTGTCCCAGGGATTGGATCCCGGCCTCTTGCATTGCAGGCAGATTCTTCACCATCTGAGCCACGAGGGAAGCCCGTCCTTAGCATAACCACTGCCCCTAAACCCAGGCACCAGCCCAAGGACACCCAGGAATAAGGACTGCACATACAGAATTCCAGCTGCTTTTTAGATAAAGTGAAAAGATGCACGTCTACCAAACTGACTGTAAAAACAATTATCAGTCTCTCCACCCTCAGAAAGGTTATAATGGAGTTGGAGGTACTTTGGAGGGAGAACAAATATTTTGCAGACTTTCACAAAAAGAGTTTCCTTAAGTGGTGTTTTGTGAGACAGAAAGTGAGGGCTGCAGAAGCTTTTTACCCTGTCATTGATGGCTTCCCCTGCCACTTGCCAATAGTGGCTTTAAAAGCAGGAAATGATGGCAAATACTCAAAAAGCATGAACTGAAATAAACCCAACTCACCTGAAGGTTATGATGTACTCTGTACTACTTTAAGTGTTTTGTGTTATTAACTCATACGTGCCATGCTAAGTCACTTCAGTCCTGTCTAATTCTTTGCAACCCTATGGTCTGTATCACTCCAGGCTCCTCTGTCCATGGAATTTTCCAGGTGAGAATACTGGAGTGGGTTGCCATGCCCTTCTCCAGGGAATCTTCCCCAACCCAGGGATGGAACCCAGGTCCCCTGCGTCTCCTGCATTGCAGGCAGATTCTTTATCACTGAGCCGTCAGGGAAGCCACTGACTCATATAACCGTCACGAAAACCCTGTAAGATAAGCACCATTAGCAGCCCCAAGTTATAGATGAGGAAACTGAGGCACAGGGAGGGCTCGCCAGCTGCCAAAATCACAAGCAGAGCAGCCGAGCCCGGAGTTATGCGCCAGCTGGCTGCAGGGTCCACACTCCGTGTGTTGGCTCTGCTTTGCCCCCTGCTTAACTGACTGAGCAATTTCACCACAAAGAAGTACAAAGCTCACCTGACAGGCCAGACTGAATGAGAAGAGGCAGCTTCTGCCTCATCCACCTTCTCTTGTCAGGACCAAGAAAGCCTAGAGTGACTGCTGTCCGCGCCAGGCGACATGGGAGACATATGTCTAATGAAAACAGAGCGGGTCTTTTCAACCCAGCACACCACTGTCTTTGCAGGGCTCTGTGAGGGTAATTAAACAAGGAAGGCCAGCGGACTGAAGTGGCCTCAGAGGGGGGTGTGCTATGGGTCCCCAGGGTGGGCCGCTGCTAACTCCTTGCAGATGGGTCCGCGGGGCTAGGCTGGGTGTGGGGCCGGGGACAGGGTGCAGGGCAGGGTGGGGGGTGCGGGGTGGGGGCAGGGCGGGGCGGCAGGGGTCAGGGAACAAGGTGGGGGGCAGTGAGGACCCAGGCAGGGGCCAGGTGGGATCTGAGCGTGCGGGGGCTGCCTCAGAGATTCAGGGAGGAAGGGGAGGGCTCTGTGGACGTGGACTTGACCCCCTGCAGTTTATCGGGCGAGGACACCAGGTAGAATCACCGGCTTAAGCCCCTTTAACACGACTGGGAACACAGCACCCCAGGCGGCTCGGTTTCTCTCTCTGACCTCTGGCCTGCAGGACCGTGAGACAGTGAATTCCTCCTGCCTTGAGCACCCAGTTTGTGACCCTTTCCTACGGCCACCCTAGGAACCACTGTTGGCTCATCCCCCAACCTCCAAGAGCAGCACAGAGCAAGACGGCCCTCACACAGCCATGCGGCGCTACGACGGTTCAGTCGTGTCCGACTCTGTGCGATCCTACGGACTGGCGCACGCCAGGCTCCTCTGCCCATGGGATTCTCCGGGAAACAGTACTGCAGAGGGTTGCCAGGCCCTCCTCAGGGAATCTTCCCGATGCAGGGATCGAACTTGAGTCTCTTAAGTCCCCTGCATTGGCAGGTGGGTTCTTTACCACTTGCGCCACCTGGGAAGCCTCAACACAGCTGTAGAATCTAAAACCTGGACAGTTACAACCCCTGTCTCGGTCCTGGCTCTCTCTGCCCAGCCTCTGCTCCGTGTTCCCTCTCACCTGTCTCTGCGTGCTCAGGCTGTATAGCTAACCCAGAACGTGTAGAAGGTGTATCCAGACTCTGCGGAAAGCCATCACAGGTTGCCACGTACTGGCCTGTATGCCGAAGGAAATTCCATGCTTCACAGGGGCACGGTCTCCTTCGCCTGGTGGAGTGGTTCCTAGGGTGGCCGCAAGAAAGGGTCACAAACTGGGTGGGTGGCTTAACGCAAGAGGAATTCATTGTCTCACAGTCCTGGAGGCCAGAGGTCAGAAAGAGAAACGGGTTTCTTCTGAAGGACCCTGAGGGAGAGTCCGTTTTATGCACGTCTTCCAGCGTCCGGTGGTTGCTGACAATTCATGGCATTTCGTGGCTTGAAAAAGCAGCACTTCAATATCTGCCTCATCTTCACACGGCCTTCTTCCCTGTGTGAGAAGGAAGCCTGTGCATTCTGTGTAAAAGAAATGACTAAGTCCTAACCTTTGGTATCTGCAAAAGTGACCTTGTTTGGAGAGAGGGTATAACATTTGCAGATGTAACCAACACCCGGATAATGAAGACCCGGATCCAGAGTGATTTCTCCACACTGACCCGGCGACCTGCTCTGAGGCTCTTTAACCTTCCTGCCCTGTAGTTTTCTCACTTGTAAAGAAAGGAATAAAATCAGATCATCTCTTCTGGGCCTAAAGGTCTTCCAGTGTCTTTCTAACTGAGTTATAGTTAGCATCCTATAAGTGTCCGGTGAACACCACAGTGGCTCAATGCTTTTATATACTATGAAATGGTCCACGACGCCCTCCTCTGACATCTCCTCTGCTTCCGTCCTGGATTCGGAGGTTGGGGAGGAACTCGTGGCCCCAGGCCGGCCCTCCCTCCCTCCCTGCCAGTGTGCTTGGGGTCTTACAGCTGGCAAAGGTTTTTTGTCCAATGTATTTCCAGTCCAACCCTCAATTTCTGGTGCAAGAGCAGCACAAGCAGCCCCACGTGCACCCGAGCCGCCCTAGCTCTCTCCCGGCCGGCGGCCGCCTCCCAGGGCGCCCACGACCCTGAGCAGCCGGTCTCCCTGCTCCCTTGACTCGTTTCTCGCTCTCTCACTTGTCGCACCCGCACCAGGCTTCTGGGCTCTCTTTCCTTCCACTGTCTGGCTGCCAGCTGGCCTAACCAGTGTAGTTTCCGCTCCCCACAAACACCCTTGTTTACATAGGACACACAGGTTTGGCATCTTGTCTGCAGACAAACAGTCCACGGCTGCAGACGGGGTGGAGCAAGCTCCAGGCTGAGCCCGGAGACCCGTGTGCGCTGCGCGGCCGGTGCGACGTCCCAGGACCCGCCTGTTCCGTGGATGATGAAAGGGCGGGAATCAAGGGGGTCACAGGCTCCAAGCGAGCCAACACGGGTGAGCAGAGGATGTCAGATGCCCTTTCTGCCCAGGTAGCTCAGACAGGAAAGAGTCTGCCTGAAGTGCAGGAGACCCCAGGTCCATCTCTGGGTTGGGAAGATGCCCTGGAGGAGGGCATGGCAAACCACTCCAGTGTCTTGCCTGGAGAATCCCACCGGCAGAGGAGCCTGGTGGGCTACAGTCCATAGGGTCCCAAAGAGTTGGACACGATTGAACGACTAACACTTTCACTCCTTCACATTTTTCCTGCCCGCCTCACGTGCCCCACTCACTGCAGAATATCCAGGGCGACCAGAGCAAATCTGGGGCTCCTCCGGCCTATGAGGATGCGGCCAGGGCTCGCTGCCAGTAACAGAGCGCGCTCCCTGAGCGCTGAAATAAGAGCGACTCAGCCGGCCCCGCGCCCCACCGCCAAGGGTCTTCAGAGCTCTGGGGACCCCACCCCACGGCTGCCCGGCGCGGAGGCCGCGCTGGAAGCAAAGCACCCGATCTGTTGACTATAAACTGAAGGAGGCATTCTCTGCGCTGCTGTGTAAACGGCAAGAGATTCTGCTGCGTCATGGAAACCGGCGCCGGCAGGATTCCGAGGCGGGGGCGGTGTTTATCCTTGTCACACGGCAGAAGGTCAACACGCACCCGGTCCCCCCGGGGCCCGCGGCCCGGCGGGCGTGAGGGCGGGGTCGGCGGTCCTGGCAGCGTCTCCGCGCCTCCGGCTGTGAGCGGAGGCGGCCTCGGGCTCCTCCGAGTCCCTGCTCCTTGCTGGGCACAGACATGCCCGCCCTCTCTCAGCCTCCCTAATTCTGGCGGGCGTCGCGATCACCGCTTTGCGTTGCTGTTTTCGCTGAGCGGAGAGAGGGGAGACGGTGCACGCGTAGAGAAAGGCGAGGCGTGAGCCTGAGCGCCAGCGCCCGCTTTCCGGACACGTCTTCCTGCTCCCGCCGTGTGAGGGGATGGACGCAGCACGCCTGCGCTTGAAGGGGTGTCGGGGTCCCATTGCCTGGTCGCGCTTTTCTGTTCGGAAAAGAGCCTTGCGCGTTTGTCAGCGAGGGGAAGGAGTCTGCAGCAAGGGGATGAGCGGCCTTCAAGCCCCAGAGGTGGAGTTGCGGGGGAGGGGGTGGGGGAGACCCAGGATCAGAGACCCCTTCCCACTTCGACTGGTTTGCAAATGAGCCTCGCGCGGGATCTTTCCACTGCCTCAGACCGGCCTCTTCTCCAACACGTGTCAAGCCATGAGGTCCTCTCTGCCTCCTTGCTGGGTCCTAGCCAAGTTTACCCGGAAAAGCCAGCTACACTGACTCAGGGTTCCTTCTTTTCTCCCCCTTCCTGCCCACCTGCTACCCTAGGTGAAGGGTCCCATAGGAACAGAGGGTGATCCCTGGCATGGAAACAGGCAGAAGGCATGACCTGGACCAGTTCCGGTACGAAACACTTGTGTCTGGTTTCTCGGCCGTCAGAGTCTCGTCATCCTTACAAAGCCCTAGAGTCCCCGCGACGGCGCCTCTTATTCCTGAGTCTCCCGCACCTGGGGGATATTGCTAGCTTCACGTCCCGGGTGGGGAGACTGGGTCGGGGGAGAGAGAGCGCCAGCCCTGTCTGAGCTGCGTAGAGATAAGTAGGCAGAAAAAGGCTGAAGTTCAGCCTTTCAGTAACCGGCTAAGGTGTCTTCTTTCGTCTAGAGTAATAAAAATCAGAATTTTAAAGTCTATTGCCTTACTTACCCCAGAGGGCTCAAGAAGTCTTTCTTCTCGCTTTTTATGACTCCGGTTTTGCCTCGAGAAGTAAGTGGCACTATAAATCCCAAATAGCTTCCTACCTGCTGTTCTTCCCCAGTGAGACTTGAAGTGATTACTAGACACGGTTTCAGGCTCTGCCAAATGATAGGAAACTTAGAGAATTTGCTTTCTGCTCAGATTTACCAGGAGGAGAGGGTAATTTAAATGGCATTTCATTATCTCAAAAGAGGTGGCAGTAAACACGTTCTGCTACCGAGAACAGATCCTTAACTAATTTCTCTTACTGGAAATCTTTCTATTGGAATTAGAGTAAAACTTCTGAGTTCAAACACTCTGCCTTTCCTGATTAGACAGTCTTCTACCGAACTGTCCCTCTGGAAGACCAGTTGCAGGGGGAAATTATCATGCCTTTGAACAATGAGTGGAGGTAGAGAAGAAAAAATTAAGCACTTATCTGCCCCAGTTCTTGTACGTCTCCACTCATGCTTGGACCAAGGATGGCCACCTCCTCCTTTCCAAATGGGGAGAAATTGGTTGACAGTTTCAGAGATGTCTTTTCAACACCTGCTCTGGGGCCCAAGTTATTGAGAAGTACATGTTAAGCCAGAATCTTACTACAGCTGTCAGAATCATGGTGATTGACAGCTGGTAAATCTCATTATGCATTTCCGCAGGATTGGAGCAAAGCTTTGATTAGTATTTAGACATTCACATTTGCAGGAGCAGCATTTTTCTTTGCTCTTAAAGAATAGTTGATAATGCTCGGGCCCAGCATCGAATCTCTATAATGTGCTCAGGATGAGGCCAGTACTATACAAACCTGAAGATGTGTTTTGGTTTGTTTCTCCTCAGTTTCATCTTGGCGACATCAACTCCACTCTTCCTTCTCTTGGACAAAGAAGAAGCAGAACAGAAGTTCTTCAGCCTGCAATTTGTTTCCAGGATATGACACGTTTGCCCTTGACCTCTGAAGAACATTTCCATATTCTTATATGTAGTAGGAATGAATGGTAAAACTGGTAGTTTTAAGGTATATAAATCTAAAAAGTGTGAAAGTGTTAGTCTCTCAGTCGTGTCTGACTCTTTGCAGCATCATGAACTATAGCCCACCAGGCTTCTGTGTCCATGGAATTCTCCAGGAAACACTACTGGAGTGGGTTGCCATTCCCTTCTTCAGGAGGTCTTTCCAACCCAGGGATCGCACCCAGGTCTCCTGCATTGCAGGCCGATTCTTTACCGTCGGAGTCACCAGGAAAGCGCAAACAAATCTAAGTGCAATGTTTATTTGCAACCAAGCCAAAGTCACATGTACACATTTGATTAAGTAAAACTCTGTGATGATAAGAAAATTTGCATATGGTCAGGAAGGATATTTCCAGAGAATTTTAGTGGTTAAAGTCATAGGTGACTAATGGTAAAAAGTGAGATTTTTTCTTCCCCAAGGTAACTCCTTGCAGTATAGTATATGGTGTCTTTGTATCACAAAGACCATGGATTCCACTCATTGGAATAGTTTTTGGAAAATAGTGATTGTGTTGGTTTTTAAACTATTGCTTCTCTGCTCACATCCACTATCCTGTACTCTGCTTTATGATTCTGGGGTTGGGTTGCTATAATCCCCATTTTCCTTTTTTTTTTTTTTTTTCTCTGCTTTATGATTCTGGGGTTGGGTTGCTATAATCCCCATTTTCCTTTTTTTTTTATTTTTTCTACTCTTCTAAAATAGCCTTGAACAGCCACAGAGAGTTTCATTTTACTAATACCTTTTCCAAATAAAAAAGGATTTTTAAATCCATTATTTGGAGCATTTCATTCCCATCAAAAATCTTCCAAATGGGGTACTTTATGGAAATGAAAGGTTTAATGAAGCCTCTAGGGTCAGAGATTGTAACCTCGTTAGAATCCTGCCAGCAGTAAGGAGTATGCAGCAGACGCAGATGTAGTGGATCTATCTGAGAAAGACCTGCTCCTTCTGCTAATTTCACAGCAGACAGAGTACAAACCTTCCGCAAGGCTGCACAGAACTGTCTTTTCCCTGCTGTAGCACCTGCTATGGCCTGAATATTTGTGTCCTCCCAAATGTTGACACCTAACCCCCAAAGAGGAGGGAGTCAGGGAGCAGGCCTTCGGGAATCCTGAAGAGAGGGGAGAACTCTCCTGAATGGAACGAGGGCCCTTTCATAACAGTGGTTCCAGACAGATCTCTAGCCCCTGGACACAGGCAGAAGTTGCCGGCTGTGAACCAGGAAGAAGGTTGTCAGCAGTAAACTGTCACTAGAACACAACCATGATGGCACTTGATCTTGGACTCAGAGCATGCAGAACTGAGAGATAAACATGTGTTTTTTGTACCTGCCCCACCTGTGGTATTTTGTTACAGGAGCCTCAAAGGCCACTGCCTCAGCTGACCATGCAGAGTAGGGAAGAAGTGACCCCCGGGAGCTGGGGGAGCCTGCAGCGTCCAAGAGGCGTCTCTCTGAAGGTTTCGCGCAAAGAGCATGACTGCGCGAGTTTCAATAAAAAGCGACCCAAGCCGGAGCCCGTAGCATTTTCCCAGCAAAATATATAAATGAAAACATAGAGCCACACTGACATGCGGCTACTTGGTAAGACACTCTGAAGATAAGGGACTAGCCCCACACCTTTGCCTCATATGGGAGCGAGTCAGTAGACCCTGTATCAACAACTTAAATCCCAAAGTCATGGCTCTCTCATGGCGTTTGCTAATGGTGCCCAAGAATAGTCTAGCAAATATTCAAAGCCAAGAAAGTTAAGTCCTCCAATGCCAAGGGTCTATCTATTGACTTTGGTTGGTCTTGTTGATTAAAATCCAGTAACTAAAGTTCACACAAAGTGCGAATACAACTTCCCTGGTGGTCCAGTGGCTGAGGCTCCTCTGTCCATGGAATTCTCCAGGCAAGAATACTGGAGTGGGTTGCCATTCCCCTCTCCAGGGGATCTTCCCAACCCAGGGATTGGACCCAGGTCTCCTGCACTGCAGGTGGATTCTTTACCATCTGAGCCACTACCATAGTTAGCCAGAGCAACTGACACACAACTGAAGTTCATATAGGCTGTGAATACAACTTCCTCGTGGTACAGTGGCTGAGATATGCACTCCCAATGCACGAGGTCTGGGTTCAGTCTCTGATCATGGAACTAGATCTCACATGTCACAAGAGTCCCACATTGCAACTAAAGATCCCTCGTGCCACAACTGAGACCCAGGCACACGAAATAAATAAATATTAAAATTAAAAAAGCAAGTCATAGGTCCAGTTGACATTCAGGAGAAAGGGATACAATGGCATGAATACCAGACAGCAAGGGTCATGGGGACAGGTTTTACGTATAGGTCCTTGGGCATAGCACTTGAGCTCCTTGAGCCTCAGTTTCCCCAGTTAAATAGAGCTAATAATTACATGTACTTCCCCACATCGTTAAGACAAATGCAGCATTTCATACCAAAACTCTACCACAGGGGCAGCATCTGATCTCAGGAACCACTTTAGAGCTCTTAATAACCCCTATGGCTAATGTAGTGCCTGGCATGTAATGGGTGTTCAAGAAATGTTCACTGACAACTGAATGAACAAACGCATGCCATGACTTACTGAAATATCCTGGTATCACCTTCATGCGATGCACAGGTTTATATAGTCTTAAAAGAGTCTCTGTCATGGAGAAGTGACCCAGACACTGGAAGGATCTGGACCATTTGCTGTGACTCGTTTAGATGGGATCCTTCTCCTGCAGAGCTTCAAGAACTTTCAAGGAAGTACGTTATTACTCACGAATCCTTCTGATAAGAAAGAGTGCAAGAAAAAAAAAAAGACATGCTGTCAACAGCAGCTGTATGACAGCCCTAGAAACTGAAGCACAAGCTGTTTCCGTGGTCAGATCCCCTGGGCCCTGGGGCTTCTGGTACTCAGAGATTGGCTGGGTCCAGAAATGAGGGATAAAGAATGGCAAAAATCTGTCGTCTATATGTAACCTAATCACATCTCTGCTGGCAGGCCATATTCCTGCTTCTTCTTCCCTCTTCTGAAAAGGAGGAAAAAAACTGATGCTCTCTTCTGATTCCTACCATGCATAGCCTGGCTGTGAAATTTACTCGGTAAATATCGTTGCAGGTTCTGGATTTTCTAAAAAACAGCCTGAATATTCAGATAAAGTAGGGCATGGAGGTCATTTGAGCAATAGCCACTAGATTCTATTAACATCTATTCATTAGAAGCGATGTGGATTTTTTTTTTTTAATATTTATTTGGCTGCACCTGGTCTTAGCTGATGCATGAGGGATCTTTGGTTGCAGCATGTGAAGTCTTGGTTTCGGCATATGGGATCTAGTTCCCTGACAGGGACCCAACCTGGGCCCCCTGCACTGGGAGTGTGGCGTCCTAGCCACTGGGCCACCAGGGAAGTCCCAAGAGTGCTGCACTTCTAATGAAAGCAAGACCCCACAGCTTAGAGCACTGCAGAAGATGTGCTTGTAGTTGACTTCCCACCACCTCAGTCCGCGTTCTGTCTCACTATCTGACACAAATACATTATAAGCATTTCCCAAATTCTATCAGTGGAAATGTCCAGGAATCCAAAGATGCTTGTTATATTGCTTAATGCACTGGGGATTACATTGAAATGTCAGGCACAGGCTATAAACAAAGCTCAAGCATTATTTATATGCAGCATTATTCTAAAACACCAAAAGAGGAGACAGCCCCGCAAGGCCCCCGCAGCACCAGGAAAGGATAATTCAGCCTCAGGCCACCAGAGGCTCTTCCGGAACATGAGATGCCGTGTCAGGATGACGCACTGTTGGCAACAGAAAGCAGTAAGTAAACTGTGATGGCGAGATTCCAGAAGAAGACTTTTTTTCTGACTAGCCAGGATGCAACCGAGGATGTTGAAGATGAGAGTTTGGGGGTCGTCTCCCGAAATCACTAGAGATTCCACCAATGTTCTTTCTTCTGTGTATGACTTTATTCATTCACTTCCTCTGGCTGCGCTGAGCCTCTGTGGCCGTGCGGCTCTTCCCCGCTGCGGTGTCAGGCTGCTCCCTGCGGTGGCTTCTCTCCTCGCCGCGCGGGCTCCGGGCCGTGGGCTCCGGAGCACAGGCTCAGCAGCCGCGGCGCGAGGGCTCAGCCGTTCCTTGGCACGCAGGGTCTTCCTGGATCAGGGTCTGAACCCGAGTCTCCAACGGCAGGCAGATTCTTTACCACTGAGCCCCCAGGGACACCCCAGTGCTTCTTAATAACGTACTAAACCTGTGGCTGAACCTACCTTCATAAGGCACGACGTTACAAGGAATTGTCTAAATGACTGTCACTGCCCTTTGGCCACGAGTTTCCTGAGGACCTAACATGTAGCCGATGCAGGGAGGATGAAGGGAACGTTTAAGAAATTGGCAGAAGGAGCTTTCCATGGGAGCACCTCTTCTGAGGCTGCCGAGGGCCATCGGACGCGGGGCAAGGGCGGCTGGGAGGGGCCGTGGGGGCAGCGGGGACGCGCCATCAGGTCCGAGCGCTCGGAAGAGGGCTTCAGCAGCCTGCTCAGGGCCAGGCAGTAAACGACAGGGAGATACATTTACATTAAACCGACATCCATCACTAACCCCAACACAGAGTGAGTCCTTTCAGGCTGGTGTCTTAAACGTTTGTCTCAGTCCTGGAGCCCGAGAAACCCCAAATCAGAGAGCCAGCACACTCGGGGTCCAGTAAGGGCGCCTCCTGACTCATAGTCACTCACCTCTCGCTGTGTCCTCAGGGACAGCGGGAGAAGGTCAGCCGGGGTCTCCTTTACTAGGGCACTAGCCCCACTCACGAGGATTTCACCCTCCTGATCTGACCACCTTCCAAAGGCCCCACCCCCTAAAAACCATCACATCAGGGGTTAGGATTCCAACACATAAATTTGGGGTCCGCAACAACCATCCTTTTCAGGTCTTGCCCATTGATAACCAGTTCCCCCAGGACTTCAAGACTGGATGTTTCTTTTGCCTACTCTCAGGCAGAGCAAAGTGAATCCCCAGAGGGTGCCCTGGCGGCTCAGCTGTGCCGTT